AATGACAATTTATGAACAGGAGAATCATCCTGCACATACACAATTATGCCAAGTCTAAACCAGTCATCAGATGAAAGAATCAGATTAAATAATCCCTTGGAAATCCAAGTGGTCGCAAATCCAAGTATCTGAAGACCCCATTCCTCTGAAGGACAAATGTGCAATTGGCCAGATTTGCTAGTAAAATCTCCAGTTTATGGGGACAAAATGCTCCTAATCCCCTTTCTCCTAACGTTATAGTTTTAGAGTAACTGAATTGTAGGACTCTTAGAAAGGTTTAAAATCAAAGCAAATCAGATGAAGAGAGCACTTCTGGATTGACTGGCAGCGATATGAGCATTTTCACTGTATCGAGGATGGGTTTGCACATTCCAACAATTTTATATAGAAATTTCCAGCTTGTGCAACCAGAATGGCGAAGAGAAAAATATCTGACAAAGTTTTATTCAGGAATATTCTGTCAAAGTGCTTATGAGTGTAGAGCTGGGTATACCACATTTTAATAGAAATATCTCCATAGTGCTGAATGAAGTACTTAGATAAACATGTGTTAAAAGAACTAAAGTACTCTATAGCTATATTATTTCCTCTTTATACAAGTAATATGCAACAGACAGCACTTCTGCAGCTATTCTACGATATAATTCACAATGCTCCCAACTGAAACTGAACCAAACTGTAAAAGACTATTGTGGCTCAGATTTCCTGGGCTTGTCCAACAGATCCGGGAGTCTTAGAAAAGTTAAGGTGATGATGAGCTTTATCTGGTCTAAATAACATTACCAGGATGAGACTCAAATGAAAAGTCAGAATGAATCCACAATCAGAATTCAGTTCAATCTGGACATGTGTGATCAAGATTCTGACTTGCATTCTGATGTGCAAATTAGCTGTCAGGTTTTCCCACAAATACACAGCAACTCCACTTTACAGTAAATCCTGTGAAGCACTTTGAGACGTTTTGATGAAATGATAAGGCACGATATCAAATGCGACGATTATTATTATTATAGTTATCTCATTCGGTGGCGCAAGACACGATGACCATCCAAACTAAGATTGATGGGTAGACACTAGATAAGAACATACTTAGCAAATGAAAGGGTTGAAACTAGAGACAAAATACATGCAGGAAAATAAATTAAATCGTCTCATAAGACATGATTTATTTTATTAAACCTACAAAGCAGTTTTCAATAAAAGAAAGCCATTACATAGAAAAAAAAGCAGCTTCTGCTAACAGCTGTAATAATGCATTACCTTTGTCCTTTATGTGTGAAAGTTCTATGGGCACCATTCTGTATATCCAGTCTGTATTTACAAAATTATAGCCTGCCATGTCTGCTTGCATCTTACCTTTGAAAAACAGGGTGTGGGAATCACTCATCTAAATCATCTCTTTCTAGTCTTAAATTACCTAATGGCCCATTTAAACTACAATTGACAGTAAAATGTGCACTTCCAGAAAATAGGACTCCAAATACCAAGAAGTGAAGATGATTATCTTACGATTTCCAGAGAATTTGACAACAACTTATTTATCAAAGAAGTTTCCTTTTATAATCAATCAGAGTGGCAGGCTCTGGTTTTCTTACCCCCAGTAATAACAAAGCTTGACGGGGTTAAATTGCCCTTCCAGGAGTCTCTTCAGAAGTGGGTTTTAAACCTGTCTGCACCAGGCAAAAACAAATATGAAAAAACAGATTTATGATCACTTCAACAATGATGTTTGATTCTTTAGTTCTCAATATCTGTGGCAAAAGAAACGCTGATTTTCCTATCACTTCAGTTTGCTGTCTTTGTGGATTACATAAGAGAATGATAATGATAATGATAATCCTTGCATTTGATAAAGCGCTTTTCACGTCGGGAGGACATCCCAAAGCGCTTCACAGAACACACTGCAAAGTGAATTGACTGTATATTTGTGGGCCATCGCGACAGCCAATTGTGCACAGCAATGTCCCACAAACAGTCATGGATTGAAAATGACCAATTTATTATTGTTTTGGTTTTGGAGGGATTATTATTAGGCATGTGGAGTAAGGAAACTTGCCCAAGGTTTCGCCCTGCCTGGAATTGAACTCAGGTCTCTCGCTTGCAAAGCGAGTGCTCTAACCAATGAGCTACAGGACTCCACTGGAATCAATTTTGATGTGTTTATTGTATGGATGTGTGATTGGAAAATTCCCAGCAAATAAATGCCAAGCTGCCAAATCCAAACACAGATGGATGAGGAAAATGCACAAGTTTATCATCTGCATCTTATTTGTCCTTTGTCGACTTGGGATTTGCGATAGGGGATGGAGGGGAAGAGGTGGTGAAAAGAAAATCCCTAACAAATATCCAAGGGAATCCAGAATTGATTTGTTTGACACTGAAGAATTCTCTTTGCAGGAAATTCAAATTCAAATAACAGGCCAGGTTTCCACTTAATAATAATCCTTGCGCCTATACTGTCAAACTGTCTTAAAACAATTCACAGACCAATGCTGTCAAGTGTGGTGACTCTGTATTTGCAGGAAATTTGTGCTCAGCAAAGTCCTACACATAGCCATGAAGTGAATGATCAATTTATCCAGACAGGACAACACCCTTTTCTTTACAAATAGTGCCATGGGGTCTTTAACATCCACCTAAACATCTGGCACTGAACTTGAGAGCGAGTCCCAATTTGGGGCTTGGACCCAGAATCTCTGATCCAGAGGCAAGAGACCCAGTCAGAGCTAAACCACTATGGAGTTTGACAGCAGTTTTTAATCAGGTCATGGTTAATAGACTACAAAGGTGAGCAGGAGGGTTTTAATTAACAAGGAAAATGAGATGTTGGATCTTATACATTTTTATACTGGACATCCCCAAACAACTCATCATGTCTCTCTCAGCCCGAGGGCCTCAGCTCAACACAGTCTCCAACCAGCTGCAGTAGCTTTAGCTCAGTGGGCAGCTCTTTAGTTCTGCCACAGACGTTGCTCTCTTATTTACTCCTTTGAAAGGGCTGCTTGCAGACTTTCTCTGCATAGCGATTCATTACAAAATGCCTTTCACAAACTAAGTAAATGAGCAGATCCAGTTACTCTGACATCATTTATTACAATGCACAATACTGCTTTTATCACCCAAAGGCTCCAGTGAAGGGGGGTTCTTGTCTTAAGTCATTATTATCCCTCTGTGTAAAACAAGACTGCTTGTGGCTATGCCTGAACAGATCATTTCTAATAATGTATAAGGAGACAATCTGGTTTGCTATTATTCACTAGCTCCTATGATTTTTGGCGACAGTCCATGAAACGCATCTCAGTCCACTTCAGTCTATAATCTAACTTGGCTTTGTTCGCTATGAATCAAGCCAGTTCCCACACATTTGCAGTTTAAGGGAGTCCCATTTCTTTTAACTTCATCCACTGCAGCAAAATAAATTGTGTGCATATCTGGAATTTACAATCGACTTCTCCCTCATTCTAGTTTAGGAGGAGGCCTGTAACATATGATGCTTAGTGCCACTATTTTACTGTTCAAAAGAAGCAGGCTATAAACATGAAGTGAATGACCAATTTTATCTGGGGGATTGTTGGCCAGAACACCAAGAGAACTCCCTTCTCTTTTCAAATAGTGCCATAGGATTTATTAATGTTCACCTCATCAGGTCCTCAATTTACCATCTCATCTGAAAGACAGAACGTACAGGCAAAACCTGCAACTCCCCAGCAATGCATTGAAATGTCAGGCTAGGCTGTGAGTTTAAAGTGCAACATGGCACTTGAACCCACAACTGACTTCAACCTACTTTCTTTCAAAATTTGTTAAACCATACTCGCTTCTGTTTTCCTCCTGCTTCCTGAATAAAACAGGTCATTTTATTCCTGTCAGTTGTTCCATTTGTGGTTGACTGGTAGTGATTCAGTGTTCATTGCCAATAATTGTTGGAGGTTGTCACGTGCTGGTCACAGACTCCTTAGTTAAGTGGTAATTTTAACTCTAGATTGTATATTCCAATTTGATCATTGTATAGACAGACTGCCAGTGTATAAACATCCTTAACCCTAATTTCCAACTGGTTAGTTTATACATTTTAAATGAGTTTTATAACTAAATAAACAAGTAGAAAATCTCATGCCAAATTTTTTGTTGTAAGGAAGCATACATCAGGTGTGTTTAACTCGAAAGAAATTTGCTCGTCTGTTGAAGTGAATTATTCCAAACAAACTGCTACATGACAGCACTGCTCAAAATGGTTTGAAGCTGTGAGCATAATGGCTTATTGGAAACACGCAAGCCTGTTTACATCAAAGCCTGTTTACACTGTAAGTGGGAATCTCTGTTTATTTACGGCTGTTTTCAATTCATGTGAGCCATGTAAATGAAGCTCATTTCCTCTCTGCACTGGGGCTAATCATTCTGCTGTAAACAGGGTGATTTGAGTCATGAGTCACATTCAACCCTGGTTCCCCTTGCCCCCGCCCGTCCTTTACAATATCCTATGAGCTCCAGACACTTGAACTGATTACTGGATGAAATGCTGTGTTAATGGAAGGAAGAGTAAATTTAGTCCAAATCAATACAATTCAAATTGAATTCAGTCCTGCCTAGAAGCTGACACAAAATGCTGCCAGGGCAGTGGGGGTCTAATGGATCGTAGTGATCTTAGTCTGCAGAAAGAGTTGCTTCTGGAGTTCTTCTGAACGTCTCTTGACATTGATCGGAGACTAAGACCTGTACCGTACTTCTTTTGATTGTTTATTATATAATCTAAAGACACTATAATTTTCCTCTATGCACATGTGTTTGCACGTAGTTAACCCTGAAATATTGCACCCGAGTCATGAACTCATCTCCCAAATGAGACAACAGCAACAATTTGTATTTATTTTGCGCCCCTAATGCAAGGTAGCATCCGAGAGCGCATGACAGTGGCAGAGCATGAAGCAGTCAGTGGTTTCACATTCACTGTGTATGTGCACAGAAAGTCGGGTAGGCACTCAAAATACTTCACCACTTACCAATCGCTGGGACTCCAATATTCTTGTATGGACACTCCAAGCTGCCTTCTTGTGACCGGCCAAAGATAGTGGAGTAGATGGCTATCACCATACTCCGTTTACAGTTCAGTCGGAGCTTGTCATCTTCACAGGCCACTTTACTCTTGTATTCATCTGGAATCGCATAAAGTCACTTTTAAATCCTTCCTTTTAACTGATGGAATGGGGGTGCTGTTTCACAGGTTCTATAGTTTTTACTAATTTTGTACTTATTAGAGGTATTGCCTCTGGCTTTCTGTAAACAGTTCCATAGTTTTCTTTATATTTCAATGCGTTAACCCCACCCCAAAGGACGTGATATTGTCACACAGACAGATCCTCAAAAACTATCAATTTGGTTTGTCTGTCGTGTATGTTGGGGGAAGGGGGCAGGGAAGAGGGGTTGAAGTTTTTTTTGAAAAAAGCATTTTTGCATGAGTCATACATATCAACTGTCCAAAAAGATTCTAACCGCATTAATATACTAATAATCTTTGTATTTATAAGTGAACACAGCAGCCAATTTGCCCACAGCAATGTCCCACAAACAGCCATGAACTGAATGACCAATTTTATTGCATCCTTTCTCTTTTCAAATTGTGTCAGGGGATCTTCAACATCCATATGAACAGGAACTCAAGACCTCTATTGAACATCTCATCTGAAGGATGGCACCTTCAACTAAGCAGAGCACTGAATTAGAGTATCATCTTAGACTGTGAGCTCAAAGTCACGGAGTGAGCGGAACCCACAACCTTCTGGCTCAGAGGTTTGAGTGCTACCAACCGAACCACGCTGACACTTTAAGGTTTGCGTTTGCTTCTATTTTTACAATCTCCTGATACTGAGATTCTTCATTTCTGGAAGCCATTCAGGTGCAGCCAGTTTTGCTCCAAGACTCTTCAGGCTGCACTCTAAAATGGAGGCAAAAGCCACAAAGTTACATTATAACTTGAACATCCTTGTAGGTTTTCCTTTAACTGCCCTGTGTCAAAAATCCATAATTCTTATTTGAGAAGTGGGGTTACTTGCTATTGTTTCATTATCAGGCCATTCTTTTGCCTCAGACAAGCTTTTGACAAATACTAAAGCAAACACTGAAAAGAATGATGGTCTGTTGTTGGAGATGGATTCTAACAGATTGGGAATGCCAAATATTCAGAAGGTAAAGAGGTATAAGCAGCCTGAAAGGTTTTTCAGAATAATGCAGTTCTACTTCCCCCGAGGTCAAAGGTGATGACCTCTGTCCTCAATTCTAAAATTGTATTTACCCACCTGCCTTGCAAAGAGTGTCTTGGTACAAAGGCCTGTCTCCTTGTGCTGCCCTCCCATCAATACTAAATCTGCTTCAAAGGCTATTAGCTTCTGTAATGAAATAGTGCCACAAGCACATTACAAAGGCCACGTGCTCCAATAGCATCAGAGTGAAAGCTACTTGCGCTGGAGACATCAGTGGTTAAATGTAATTGTCGCTGCTCTAGAGATCAAATAAATTATCTACTGCATCACAACAGGCCTTAGGATACCCCAGATCCCAAACCCAACCCAACAATAAGCGTGTTTAGATCAGAGATAAACTGAAATAATAGATGATCTCGATTAATCAGACACGTGGCACTGATTGGAGAGGTGTGCAGGCAGATAGAGATTGTTGCCTAACTGGCCTGATCGAGATTTTAAACCTTTCAAAAAAGTTTGTTTTGTGTATTTAAAAGAAAACTCAATACATACAGGAGGGAGAAAGGAATTGAGGGGTTTAGGCAAGGGAAAGTGGGAGGGTGGAGGTAAATACTGGCATAGACTAGTTGGTCTGTGTCCATGTCATATTATTCTATGTATCTATGCATTCTCAGCCTGATGGAATAGTTCAGAAATATTCAGATAAGCAAATTACTAGAATTTCAAGTGAGTCGCCAGGGTTTAGGATTATAAAATGAGCAGTTTAAATGGATGTTTATAGAAAGTGCCAGAATATTTAGGAGGTTGATGCTTTTTGTGACAGGAAAGCAAGAAAATTGATTTTTACGGTAGCGCTTGTGAGAATACAAGGTAGCACCATGTTAGAAAACCATTGTTTTGGACCCTGGCAATCAGGGAAGCCTGACCACATGTCCATACATGGTGAGGTCCCAATAAATGAGCCAGTCTGTTGGAAGGAGGTCCTCAATGAACACTGTGTGTTTCCAAACAGAGAGGAACAGTGAGTCACAAACTCCCACCTCCCTCATGGTCCAGACACATGACCGCACTGAGAGACGACCTGGTGCAAGACCAACCAAAATTATGTTTTATATGGGATATGTGAAAGATGGGCTACACAAAAAACTTACTTTTAAAAATTAATAATCCATTTTAAAGAAAATAGAAACATTACAGATTGGAGTGAGAAAGCAAGTGAAATATCTGATTCAAAAATAAATTTTGGTTACTGCAGGAAACAAATTCACCCCCGGTGAACCCCTATTCTTTCTAAAAGAAACATGCAGACAACATGATCTATGCTTCATTTCAGTGAAAGTTGACCGAGAAGTTTTTTAATTTAATTTTGTTTTTTATTTCCCAATTTTGTTTGCTAGAGAAGAATAAAAGCCAACTCTCTTTTCACCCCCAGATGGCGAGATGTGTTTATTTCAGTATTCTGTCCCTCTCCAACCCTCTCCCCTCTTCTAGGATGATAATGAACACCGCTCTTTTTTCTCATAGATTGATTACTTCTGTAACTAGCTCAGTGATTCTTTATGTTTCAGGTTTTCTATATAATCTTATTTCAGGTTATAGATCTCTCTGCAAGTTAACTAAACTCGATGTAATTGTCTTTAATGCAAGCGGTGATTGATAGTAGCCTGAAGGAGCAGGAGCACTGATAGTTGGGTGTAGAGAGGAACAAAGCTCATGGCAACGACAGCTCAGCTGTTCTGCATAGAGGCGTTTTTAAATGTGTTTTTGCTGGACTTTCAGTGACTTTCAGAAAGAATCATTCATAAATTTATATGCAGAATATCAATTTAATAATAATAATGTCAGGGCAACGTGATCTCAAGTTTCAAGACATTATTTTCATCCACACTAAAATTAGATGAAATTTGAGGGCTCGGAACACAAAGTAAAAAAAAAATTCCCTTAGATTAAGCAATGTCAATATCTAGTCAAGCAGGGTTGAATCACTACTTGTGAGAACAGAGTCAGACTCTGCTAAAAAAAACAAGTCGGCAATAAAGAATCTTCAGTGGGTTGGCTGGATAAATCCAATCTCCCAAAGGACACATTGTTTTCTGTTCTTGTGTTAACACCTGTGAACATTTCCCCAAATGTTGCTTTCAATGTTTTAGTTTAATATTCTATCTATTCAGTGATTCAGATACATTGATAGATGTAATGTATCTGGTCGGTTATGAGCTGTGTAACTATATAACTCCCAAAATGGACAGCACAGTGGGTTATGAACTGTATGGATGCCCTGAATAGGACAAAGCAGAGATGGAATAAAGAAATAAACCTCAACACGGCCTTGACCATGGGAAAAACAACACCTCGGCATGACGTTCAACAATCGCCTTTTTTTAAACAGGTTCCAGTTAACCAACACTTGGAAAATTTACTGCAATGATAGATTTCCACTGACCAACTCCATTGGTCCCCACTTCTCCACCCGCCCATCAAAAAATCAATAGAGATGCAACAAATATGCTTTGGCGAGGCTGACAAATAACATTGCATTTAAGGATCTGCCCATGGTAAAATCATTTCATGCAAAGATAAACATCACATTGTTAAATTCACTTTCTTTTTCCCTTCCATTTGAGTTTCTATGGTAGTTTAACAAGGGGACCTGGGGAGCCCATTTGTCACAAGTGAACCTCCCGTGAGTGGCATTCTATTACAATTCACCACAGAGATGAAGCCAAAATGCTATTTTAATGAGATGAGGGAAGGCCCAGTGCAATACATCACACTTACTTTATTGGCTTTTAAAGTAACAAAAGGAGTCTGGTTTCCAAATCAATTTCCCAAAAACATGGATGAACATTAAACTCCAATGTCTCCTTGGGGTGTAATTTGTGATTTATTTTGTAAATCTAACAATTGCAAATTGTTTTCCACTTCGGTTCAAAATTCAAAAATACCAAGATGGGATTTTGCTACTTGTCAGCTTTTAGAAATAGCAATGTGTCTTTTTTTGCAAAATCACGAATTGGATAGCTTTCAAAAGGTCAGAAAGGTTAATCTTATGACAGGAATAAGCCAATGAATTGAAAAGTACGTAATTTGCCAAAAAGGACTTGCAATAACTATTTTAAATACAAAATCTCTGCAAAGCGGTCTTTAGTTCTTCCTATTCCCGCCTCCATTATAAGCCCAATAAACACACGAGTCTGTGGCTGCAAGTCCAAACTAGGATGTGCATGGCAATGTGCCTCATTTTAGTGAATAGAGTTCTTTCACTTGACCATATGACAATATCACCTATATGGAAAAAGTCTATTTTACTCCTATTTGACAGAAATTCTAGATTCCAGAGGAATTCAGGGTTGGCAATAATATTTTTTTCACAAATTCTCACTGCATTTGTTAGTCCTTCTCATTTGTGGAGTCCTGTAGCTCAGTGGTTAGAGCAGTCGCTTTGCAAGTGAGAGACCTGAGTTCAATTCCAGGCAGGGTGAAACCTTGGGCAAGTTTCCTTACTCCACACGCCTAATAATAATCCCTCCAAAACCCAAAACAATAATAAATTGGTCATTTTCAATCTACGACTGTTTGTGGGACATTGCTGTGCGCAATTGGCTGCCGCATTCGCCCACAAATATACAGTCAATTCACTTTACAGTGTCTTCTGTGAAGCGCTTTGGGACGTCCTCCCGACGTGAAAAGCGCTATATCAAATGCAAGGATTATTATTATTATTATTATTCAGCAGTTGAATTTCTTCCTTTAGCATATCCTTTCCCTATATGGTTTCCAATCGTCTACCATCACGTGAAATATTTCTTGGGTGCACACTAATTTTGCCAATGATTTTAAGTGAATACAACTGCTGTAATCCTAACTCTACTTCTTTTGAGGCAAGTCCTTGGCACTTTCTGAAGATAAAATTGGCCTGCTTGATTCTTCTTTTTAACCCCTTCTAACATTTTACCCCCTTCTAACTAGACCTTTCTTGTTTTTCACATAATTTTGCCAATGATCAAACATTTTAAACAAAGGGAAGGAAGCAGAGGGTAGTCATTAAGAGCTGAATTGAAAGGGGTGGAGGTATGCCTCAGGCCTGCCTTTACTGGGACTTCTCCTTTTCCTTATATACACTGATGACTAGATTCACGGCAAGGGAGGTTATTTTTTAATGAGAGGTAAGATTAGGGGCAGGAGTTAGAGACAAAAAGAGAGGGCTCAAGAGACTGAGTGATTGACAGGGTTCCAGGAGGCGAGAGATGAAGTGATAGAACTGGGTTCCATTAGGCAATATGTGTAAATCCAGGTGTATTAGCACCATGTATTATATACATATACAGAGGGAATTGCACGTGCCCTTTATTATGTAAATGATTAACATTTTTACACACCTGGAGATTTTTTTAAACAAACGTCTTCACACAAATGACTGAAGAAGATGAGTCCATAACAACATTTATAAATAAATACTAGAGGAAAACATACTAAACGGGAAAAAGCAAGGAATACAGTCAATAGTTCCACTAAGGGACCCAGACACAATGGGCAATGTCCTCCTTGTGTTTTGTAGACTGTGACTTGTGAGTCATTTATTGTGGCAATATAGCAGAGTAAGTGTTAATAGGTGCTACAGGACACTACCCCACATTTAGGGTACTATATAAAAGTTGTTGTTGTTGATGTGGTTAATAGCCACACACAGAGCTAAAGCACACACCACGCTTCATGTTAATAGATGCCAGGTGAGCTACTTACTTGGTCGACATTTATACCACACAACAAGATATTTGCTGGTTCCAGGACAAGGGTCTGTCCCAAATATTCGACTGTTGACAAGAAGCTGACAACTCCTTCTATCCTGGCATTCGTCCAACATTTTCTAGAGGAACAGAAAATAGAACCACAAATGTTATCAAAATGCCATACCTGATGTTGAGATCTCTACACAATGCTTTTTATTCATTATTTTTTCTTTTACAGCATTCAGCAAATAATCTGGACTGAATTAATATTACTTTGCCCAATGACCAGAGTCTTTTGAACAGTTTGATAACGCCATTGTGATACCATTTTTTTCACAAACCATTACAGGTTGGACAATATAAGCAGAATTTGCACTGCTCCCAGGATTTTCAATGAGAGAATTAAAAATAGGGTTTAAAAAGAAAGGGAGAAAATGACTTGAATTTCATTAAAATGTCAGAGATAATAATAACTCACAACATAAAAACTCAACTTCTGCTAAACCACTGAGTGCAATTGTGTAATTTCTCTGCTAAACTGTATATAATTGTGCGGTCCATCTTCCATTTAGAAGTTTTTTCCGTTAACATCAACGTTAACCAGCTCTTGCACAAATAGATTGATACTTAGACCCTAATGAGACATTAATGAAGCCAGTTAAAGACAGAACTTGCATTTTTGTAGCGACTTAACAATAATGACTTTTTTTNAAAATAGGGAAACACGTCAGCCATTTGCAAAGTCCCACAATCACTGTGAGGTGAAATGACCAATTGGAGGGCGCTCTCTTCCCTTTTCAAACAGCGTTATGGGATCTTTTGCGTTCACCTGAACATGGAACTGGAACTTCGTTTTGACGTCTCATTTACAAAGATGCACCTCCCTCAATTTTGCACTGAATTGTCAGTCTAAACTATGAGCTCAAGTCCCAGCACGGGACTGAAACCACAACCTTCTTACCCAGAGGCAACAATGCTACCAACTGAGATAAACTTGGATATAACTCAATCATAATTGTTGTTGCTCGTGCATCACATTTTACACATGAGCAAAAATGCCCAGATCTGTAACAAGTTAGGGTTCTCCAATTAGCCAGTAATGGGATATTATTGACTTTAGTGTGGTATAAAGTAGATATGCTACTGAAAAATAAATCCTTTCATGGTATTAGGATTACAGAAATGGACATCTAATGCTCAATGTTACTTACCTGGATGTTTGCATTAAAGTCTGTCTGACTGTCAATCAATTTCATATTTGATCACTATCAATTCTTCAAATTATTTCTGTCTATTTGATTCTTTTAGAGTAAGACACTGTGTAACCACAGTCTTTACCACTGTTCTCTGGCTGCAGATCCATGTGGCTCTGTGCCAGGTATAAATGAAATGGGATCTAAGATGCAGTGATATCTAATGTTACTGTTACACAGCCAAAGAATGGGATGATATTTTTTAAGGAGTTGACACTACAAAATAAACACAAAGATTCGATTTAGTGCCTATTTTTTTAGAAAGTCAGCCGTATGTCTCACACATCCAGAAATCAATCACCATGCTTCAGAGTATCCATACCAGACCGAGTTCCATATATATATATTATATGAAATGGAATGTACACTCTTCCTGGCAGGAAACAGCCTGCTTACCTAATTCCAGAGAGTATTCAGCGCAGATTGGCAAGAGTCAAGGCTTGGGGACCACAAAATATTTGTTGGGCCACTCTTGGAGTTCTTCCAGCTTGCCATTGAGAACAATGTTTTGCAAACTTCACAGTGCTTGTCTAGCTACAACCATCTTGCCCATTAGGGCTTTGGCTGGCATGTTTAACAGAAGCTGAGTAGGAAGAATCCCTGTTGCCAGTGATTGGGTCCAAATCCCTGACTGTCCAGTGCCTTGAGACGTCCTCCCGACATGAAAGACGCTATACAAATGTAATTGTGTTATGTAGTGTATGGTCTGCCCCTCGACATCCTGCCGATGAGTCAGTGACTTAGTGACTGAATAAGTACTCCAGTAGATAAACTTATAATTCTTGTCCTGACCTTCAAAGACAAGGTCTCGTCTGTCATTAGCTGTGCAAATCAAACTTATTCTCATGTAGTATCCTTTAGTTCAATTCTGGTCTCCTATTTATTCCTCATTCCCTCCATTCCACTACTGGTAGGATAACCTTCATTCACTGCCCCCTGCCCTCTGGAACCCTCTTCCATCACTTCTTTATTCCCTCTTCAGAGCCCTGTTAAAAGCATATTTTTGACTGTTTTGGGGTTAACATCTTTAATTCTCCCTCCTCCTCCCTGTTACAACAACAACAACTTGGATTTATATAGCGCCCTCCACACCGGATGGCAGCTCAGAGCGCTTCACAGTAACGGATCCCGGGGCTGAGCCAGAGGTAGGGGGAGGAAGTTGACCAAAGGCGCGGTCGAAAAGAGAGGTCTTCAGCCAAGACCTGAAAATAGGAAGAGAGGGAGCGAGGTGAAGGGAGTGAGGAAGGGAGTTCCAGAGCCTCAGAGCATAGTGGCTGAAAGCACAGCTGCCTCCACGATGGTGGAGCGGAGGATTCGCGGGACAAGGAGGAGGCTAGACCCGGTGGAATGAAAGCAACGGACACTGTTTTGAGGAGAGAGGAGGTCAGAGAGGTAGGGGGATGCAGAGGAGTGGAGGGATTTGAAGACAAGTGTGAGGATCTTGAAGTCGATCCTCTCTGGGACAGGCAGCCAGTGCAGTCTGGCAAGCACTGGGGTAATCGGGGAGCGGAGTTTAGTGCGGGTAAGAATGCGGGCGGCAGAGTTTTGTATAATCTGGATTTTATGGATGCTGGTGGAGGGGAGGCCGGCGAGGAGGGCATTTGAATAGTTCTGCCGAGAGGTGACAAAGGCATGGACCAGGGTTTCAGAGGCTTTCGGAGAGAGGTATTAGCGGAGACGGGCAATGCGTCGGAGGTGGAAAAAAGCGGTCCTGGTGAGGGACCAGATGTGGGGGAGGAAGGATAATTGAGGGTCGAACCTGACGCCTAGATTGCTTACAGATTCGGAGAGTTTTCGGGGGAGGTCGGGTAGGTGGAGGAGATGAGAACCGTGAGATTTTGGGCTGCTGTGTTCCCTAGAATATTTAAATGCAAAGTTTATTTTATATGACAGGTGCTATAAAAGTGCAAGTTGCTGTCATTCAGTACAATTTTCATACCTGGAGCAGTCAGGACCTCAAGGCTCCAAGAAAAATTCAATTCAGCAAAGTTTAAGAAGCTAGAAATGTAAATTATTTGTATAGGTTGTGGAAGTAGAGCTTGTTGTTGGACAAAGTCTTCCCACATGACTCAGCTGAAGTTTGTTAAAGATTAGGTAGGGGGATTGGCATCATTCATCTGATAAAGACAGTATATTAGAACCAGAAGTTAGAATAACTAGCTTCAGTTACACTAGAATTCCTAGCAGCAAACATCATTTATAGTAATATTATTGTCCAAATATAACAAAATCCATTGCAAGAGCTCAATCTTCCAGCCAACAATAACATAATCTAAAAGATCTCAGCAAAGGAAGGGGTGCAGATCTGCCAAGTCTGCCCCCCACAATTTTAAGCATAGATAGCAAGCATTCCACTCTTTGTTCACACTGGATAAGCAGATTTAGACAAGAACCTATAAACATTTATTTTCAGCAGCAACAACAACATTACAATTGTATAGCACCTTTCACATAGGAAGGATGTCCAAAGGCGCTGGACAATCAATGTTTTGGACCCAAGCTGGGAGTTGGGATCGGGGAGAGTAGAAGGCAGGGTGGGAAGGAGGGTGACCTCAAAGTCAAAGAGGAGAATGTTGAAGCGGGTCTTGAAGGAGGCAAGGGAGGGGGGTGAGGCAGAGGTACAGAAGGCCTGCCCACCAATGGTGGGGCAGGCGAGGCTAGGGACGTGAAGCAGGCCAGAACTCGCTGAACAGAGGAAGGGGGCAGGTTGATAGGGGTTAGAAGGTCAGAGAGGTGAGGACCAGGATCTTGAACTGTATCCTCTGAGTGATGGGAAGCCAGTGGAGTCAGGCGAGGATGGGGGTGATAGAGTCGCAGAGCCTGGTGCGGGAGAGGACACGGACTGCAGAGTTCTGGATGATCTACAGCCTATGGAGGGAGGAGTTTGTGAAGCCGACATGCAGAGAGTTTGTGTGACAAATAGCAGATCCTAACACTATTTTCCAATGAAGTCAACTATTTTAATACACTAGCTTAAGACTTTATTTAGACTATTTTGTTAAAACAATTGTATTAATAATATGTATACAGGTAGCAGTTTATGTCTAAAAAACTCAAGTAAGCAGTCATGCCAATCTGTTGTTAAGTGCCAGAAACTTCCTTTAGCTAAAACCTGCCTTCAAGGAAGTTGGAGCTGAAAGATGCAAGGAGGCATCTAGAGGGTCAGGACTCAAGATATATTTAGGTAGCTACAGAATATGATTAGCAAATCTTGCAAATCAGACTCCAATGTAGTCATTCCTACAATTTAAATGAACCTTTTAGCCAGTCTATACCTTTCAACAAACAACCAATGCCAGTGTGTTAAAAGAATTGTACAGACTGAGTTCAAACTGTAGGATCTGAATGGTTATTGAAGGGCAGCTGAACAGTTGAGTTAGCCCTAGATCCAAACATGTAGGATCAAGTCACACTGTAGACATATTAAGGAATAGCCCCAAGGGATGGAAGACCCCTTTCCGATGTGATATGTACAGAAAGCATTCACTGCTGCAGATGGTCTGATGTATCAGCTACAACCAAGTGATGACTGCTTGGCATTCCTATACTTGATCTACAATCTGGGTCTGATGGCATGGATTAATTGCTGATGGACAAGGTGTTAAAAGTGATATGCACTGCCTGTGGCGAGCAGCAGGCTAGTACACCAAAATATTATTGTCGGTTTGAGAGGTTTCTTCAAGTAGTGTCACTTCTTTGTGAACTAAAACAAAAACAAACAAAACCTTCACTTTGATTTTAGGGAATCGTGCTCGTGTCCACAAATACTCGATTGAAAACAGACAAATATGACTGAAGAATGTCCTTTATCTCATCATCTTCAATTTGTGACAATCGGCACCTTGTATTTCTGCTCCTTTATCAAACTTGTCTTCAGGACCCCAGCTAGAATTACTGTAGAAAATAGACCGTCTCCAGCTTTGAACGGATGAGATGCAATGCTTTGTCTGGTTAGCTGTTTCCCAGAAATGTTTCATTGAATTTACTAAAAGGCCATCAAATGTACATGTGTAGTCTTTCAGAATCCCACGAAGTACAAACTTCTGTAACGTGTAACAGAAACATTGCTAGACAAGCTCTTGTTACAGGATGAACCTCTTGTTAAAGGTTACATTATAGGTCAGCCACTTTCCTTCATGTAAGATAAAGCTGCTGCATTTGGGATTACCCATGGCAGCAGCAATGAGGCACTTGTGCTATCTTTGCCATAATGTGGGTTTCTAAGTTTCAAAGGAAAAGTCTCCATGTGAAATATTTGATACATGTTACATGTCATATGTTTAAACTTCTCAAAAGTTATCTTAATTCCAAAAGATCAAGGGATATCCCAGACATGTTTTACTGTACTAAGCTGACATCTTAAGGCGTCAGCCTTGTTGATCTATGGATCAGAAGGTTCATGTCCCATGTCAGGACTTGAGCTCACAATCCATGTGGCACACCAGTACAGTGGTAGGGGAGCACTGTAATGTCAAAAGTGCTATGTTTGTCATAATATAGGTTTCTAAGTTTCAAAGTAATAGTTTCCATGTGATGAGATGTTTCACCAAGGTCCAGTCTCTTCAGGTGGATATTAAAATATCCCATGACACTGCTAAAAAATTGTCCTGTCCAGCAATCCTCCAGATAAATTGGTCATTCACTTTGTGGGACCTCACGGTGTGGCAAAATACCTGGCATGTTTATCTACAAATAATCATGAAACTTCACAGAAATTCGGTGCAAAATATTTTGATACATTTTCCATTATAGGTGCCATATCAAATTCAATATTATTTATTTTTTATTATTATGTTTGCTACTTCTAGGATGTTAGTTCAAATGTACATCCTCCTCATCCTACCTACAGGATGGCATAGAAAGTCAAGAATCTTGTTAGTTTGATACATTGAGTAGAGAAGCCATGCTTCAATGATCAGCCATTTGGCTTCCTGTCAGGACTGGTATTTCTTTAATAACTATGGAAGATACAACTGTGTTGAATTCCCAGAGGTTTTCAGTGGTCCCTCACCTAAAGCATTAAGCTTCTTCCTAATTTTCTCTCTGACAACTTCTATTAGGTTGATGAATGTAAGCCCTGAGGTCAACACTAATAAGCTTTATCCAGTACATATATAAGCCTATTGCCTCTGGTAAGGCACTAATCACATCAATTTTCTTCGAGCCTCATGACTTAAGTCATAAACTGCCAACTCTCCTATTATATGAGCTTTCAAAGGCTAGACAGAAATGGTTAGGAGAAGATAAGTATTAGCTCCGGTATCTTACCAAAGTAAATCTTGATTCAAGGAGTGTCCTGGAAGGCGAAACATTTATACAGGTGAAAATTGCAATATTTCTAAATATTTAAGCAAATTAATTAAAATATATTTTGAAATACTGCACACTCATCCCCCTCAACTTCTGAATAATCAATGCACCTAAACCTGGTTGCAAATGAAATCCCGGGCACTACAACCTTGGAATCCTCCTTAGCACAGATCCTATTCACAATTTGAAAATAGATGTTCCCAGTTTATTCGGGCAGCAAACACCAAACTAAATCCGTGTTCAGGCACTACATGTCCGACTACACGTTCAGACAGTATTTGGTAGAGTGCTAGCCATGGCGTTTCTGATGGCGAGTATGAGGGGCAAGGTCATTACCTTTCACCTCCTCCATCACGCCATGCTGGGGACACACACCATTAGGGGCCCCACTCTCTTTGCTTCCCACATGGGTATCAGATGCACCTAATTCCTGTTCTGAGTCTTGTCTTCATTTTATTATTATTATATTATATTGTGATCTTATGTGTTGTATGTACATTTTCACCAACTTCTGTGTTATGCATCACCAAGACAACAATAATCTACACTGTTCCAAAAAGAAGTAAACATACAATCTTGATGTCACATGAAAAATTTCAATGTCTGACATAAGGATACCTCTCCGAACCCATAGAAATTTTCAATTCCTTTTCACACAGGTTGGATCCAAATACAATATCCTTTTTTAAAAAGACGCAATGTCCTCATAGGAATTTTGCATGTACAATTAACACAATTATTTTTCTTAACTCCCCAAATTATGGCAGATGTCTTAATAAACATTACCAAAGTCTCCTACGTAATTTCGACCCCTTGGAGAGCTCACTCCTCAGCCCTTGACAAGAACAATTAAAAGCAAAAAATACGAGTTCAGTTTCCTGTTCTAAATCGCTCTGCTACTGAAAGTAACTTTGTGATGCCATCTACACTCACCACTAAAATACTTTAATAGGAATTTACCTGCAAGGATGTGATAGCTGAACAGGACAGGTCTTCCACTTCAAGCTCTGTGAAGGTCTGTGGGTAGCGAGAGGGGCACATCTGGTGACTTGGTGCTTTTCTACCATAAAATGAAGACTGGATACTGATGGTTGTTCTATGAGGGCACCGCAGTGAGATATACTCGCCATCACAGGCATGCTCTGTGTAATTCCGCAATACCTTTGACATGTAACCTGTTTAAAAGCAAGATAACAGAATAAGTATCCAAAAACAAGATATTCATAGATTTAGTCATTGGCTTGAAATCTAATGTTTACAGAATTAAGTCCATGAAGTGCAAAAAATTCAAATTCACTTTCCACAATTATCAGGAATCTCAACAGTTATCAGCCAAGAGAACGAACAGTGCACCTCTGAAAAAGGAATTAATGGATCTAAGAGTAGACTGTGTATCATAGCAAACTTAGACAAACTCTGAGGTACGTGTGGTCTCAATTCTCTGACAGGCTACTAAATAAGGTTAGCATACTTCTTGTTGTGTACAAAGCAAATTCTCTGTTGAGTGTGAATAATCTATTACATGGCAGCTGCAATTTGAGAGTACTTTTTGCACCCTCTTAGCAGAGGGAGAATGTATGAAAATGGAGAGAGAAGAAAATTCTTTCCCTTTTAAAGTAGGGACAACTTAATATAAACTTTTGTGAAGCATTTCCAACTAATATACCTATGATCAAGATGAACAATATAACCACTGGTCTGCTCAATGGACTGGGGAATACTAGGCAGTCTGGAGCAGGAGCAAGAGTTCTCCTTTGGTTGCCTTTTCTAAGGATCCTACCTCAAACAAATCACAGCAAACACAGACCAAGCCATACTCACAATTTGGCTCTAAAACATTTCTTTCTGTCTCTGAACTGCCAAGAATGGCTGGTGAAATAAAAAATGTCACACAAATACAATAGGAGTGTTTTTCTGAAGTCGTAGTTAAAACAACATTTGTACTACAGTCGCTGTATCTGACTGGTGCTACACCTCACCTGGAATTGTGCAATGCCGACACTGGATGACAAGAAGGGAATTCTGCTCCACAACCAAACTCTGATTCCCCTCACCATACTGAGCACCCAAACTTCCAAAGAAAATTCCAATAATTTTCCTGATGTTGAAAACTCAATGGTAATTTAAACTACTGCTTTACTGGTTCTACTGACTCCCTATTGCAAAACAGATCGATTTCAAGATCCTCACACTCTGTGCAAATTATTTTATAGCTTGGCAGCTCCCTACCTCTTTGACCTGAGTTACCTCACTTCTCTACCCACCCTGTTCATTCAGCTGGCTGTAGGCTCCTCATATCCCTTGTCTCTTCCAGTCCACCATCTCATACGCACTTTCAGCCACTACTCCCCGAAACTCTGGAAACTCTCAATTCCAATGATCTCCCATTTATAAGTGTACATTGGTAAGATCACCAGCTTTTCATCAACCAGCAGAATGTCAATGCACCCTTTTTACCTAACCAAGAAACAAAAATTGCTGCAAATTGACTTTCTTAAAATGAAGCCAGTCGGGAAAGCACAGAACTAATCAGACAGGTGTAAATTCTACTGAATTGAGTAGTTTTGTTTTCTATCCTCTCATAAGCCAAAACGATAATATTCCTGCTTTGTGGATTTGCAATTTTTCTGATTTGTGGTTCTCACTTACTTCCAGGTACTTCAAAGAATATTTTAATAAAGGAAAATGCATCCTGTGCTGTGATTTATGTCAGGAAGCATCACGTCTAAAGCAAATTAGTTACATAAATTGCTGAGGCTAACCATAGAAACCACCATTCAAAAGAACTGCAGGGATTAAGGACTACCAGATAGAACTGAAGAATTTAGCGATTCTCAGACATGTAAGGATAATGCTCTATAATGTTGTAATCATAAAATAAAGGCAACAGGTTAAGGCTCAGGTCCACACTGCAGAACACCAACAAAGAATTGGACACAACTCAATGAATTATGTCACAAAATATTTGTCATTTCCCAATAGATGAAGTAATTAAAGGTTTCCGGTTTCTATACCAAGTGTGTGAGGTTATTGCATGCTTGTTTTATATTGTCTCCGAGATTTGGACAGACTGTGCAGATGTCCTGTTCAATACCTCATCTCAACTTGCACATGACATTCTTTTGGAAGGACGCACTGGATAAGCTTTAATCCAAAATAGTTTTTCAGGTCCAACGCACCTGAAAAAGCTCCCCTCAGGTTAAGTGATGGTTACTGGTGCCTCACCTTCAGAAAAAGTGCTCGAGGCTCAAACTGCATGCCGTGCAGGGAATTTCACATAACGTTACATAGAATCAAGACTTAATCTTTGAGGTAGTCCTGGGTTGGCATTGAGGTCGCATAAATTGATGCAACTTACATAGGTTCCCTGCATGAGACACGGTTTATATTACAAGGTCCTTTTTCCAGCAGTGAAGCACATTATTGTTTCCCTGAGGCACACTTTTTCAAGCTCAAAGTCTGAAAGTTAGGGATAGGCAGAAATCAACTGCACCTATTTGCTATCCAGTGCCTCCTGCTGGAAGATCTCAATATGTGCATATTGAGAAGAAACAAGATCTCCTTCAGCTTTGATAACCCTTATTGTCAAAAAATTGAATAAAAGTCAATTAGCTGCATTACATATAACGAAGAACAGACTAATGTGAAAAAATAAATCTATACACCACAGCTTCTTTTGAAAACTATTATAACAAGTCAGGGCAAATATTCTCTATCAAAGTATTTGAATCAGGGAAACATGTTAAAACTCTGGGTCCAATAACTCAGGGTTGTGAAGTATGAAGAATTGGGTGACTTTTGCATCATCATCGCCACTGACATCATTTCCTGCTCACATGCAGCAAGTGACTTCCACAGCACAGATCGAGCAATGCACAGGAGGTAATGTCATTATAAAATAAATTGATGAAAAGTAAATACACATTGTCAAATTTTGACAGTGAAAACTGAGCAGTTTGCTTCACATTCTGTTGCTGATTAATTTGCCTACAAAATACACAGTAATTACACAGTAAAGCATCTTGAGACGTCCTCCCATCATGAAAGGCAGTATATCAAATGTAAAGCTTATTATTACTAATACAACAAGACCATTTGTGTAAGTGAAGATCCCCTCCATGGGGTGTAAAACTTACAATTCGCTGACACTAGAGAACACTCCCATTATCAATAAAGAATGAATGGCTTGTAATGCAGAGCTGGTCAAGTTTCTACAATAGCTAATCCCTAAAGCAAGTGGCATGTTACTACATCTGTACTGCTTAAGCAGATACTCTGTGCTCAACGCTCTGGAGATTAGGCCCGCTAAAAAGCACCTCTTGTGCCCATGGACTATTCATGCTGCAGGCAGAGGTTTATTTCCACAATCCCTGGCAAATCTGAGTGCACCTGTCAGCACATTTTCTTTTTTCATTCATTTCACGTCTGCAGCCTGAGGCCTTAGATTTCTGATCTTTCTTTTTCTGCCCATTTCTGTCACAAAACACAGCCTGAAAAGAATGTCATCTGTGGGGAGTGCAAGGCTGAACATGACTGAATCAAATAGAGTTCCACTTATTATGTCAAGGCAAATACCTCCATTGAATTTTCAGTTTTATATTATCGAGGCTGGTGCAAAAACAAGGGAATTAGCTCGAGCCCACAAAACATTTAAGGTTTGCGTTCTTTCCTTTCCTTCCATACGTCTCAAAGCACCTCACAGAATATACTGTAAAGTCAATTGTGGACAAAACACTTCAACCAATTGTGCACAGCAGTGTCCCACAAACAGTCATGGATTGAGTGACCAATTTTTTTTTAAAAAGGGATGATTACCCCCAGAAAAGCAATCTGCCAATCGACTAACTACCAGGTTCCTACTTACTGCTAGCTAAACAGAGGCATATGGAGTAAGGAAACTTGCCTAACATTTTGCCCAGCTCAGGAATCGAACCCAGGTCCTCTCACTTACGAGGTGAGTGCTCTAACCAAAACGCTACATCCTCAACCTAATATGTTTAAGTGTGCACTGTGTAGCAATCAGGAGTGGGTTACCTGATTGAGTCCAGGTTGCTAGATGAGGAATTGAAGTCCATTCTATCATCCTAACTGCTGCCTTAGGTGCGCACAGTTAAATCAACACAGATGGGGGAGTGGAGGGGATCTGTTATGTTTTTACTGAGAATCAACACATTTCCAACAACTTAATGTCAAGACTGCTCAAAGCAATGTGTTGCAGTTCTTCATTGTTAACTTCCTGGTCAGACTCCATTCCATAAGCTTATGAGGGATAAACATTCCTTTCTCCAACAGGGAGTTTAGGAGGAACTTATTTCAACAGTGGATGATGAGAACGAGAAACTCGTTGCTGGAAACTATGGTTGAAGCAAAAAAGCATCAATGGACTTCAAAGGAAATTTGATAAACACATGAGGGAAAAGGGATTAAGAGACATGGTTCAGTGTTATATCATCCAGTGTAATTTTAAGCGATTTGAGTTTTGGTTTCAAGAATCTGGAGTCCTAAGAGAATTTTATTTGAGTTTCACAATCTATGACTACTCCCATCCCGCTCCCCAAACTGAAAGACAGTTTGTAAAAATTTCAGTGGAAGAAATAACCAGGAGAATCTACATCTAATGCCTGTCACACTGCAGAAAGTTGGAGCACCCATATCCCTCACCTACCATCTCAACACCAATCTTGTTGCATATCCAATTTTCAATGCTTTTTCTTTAATCCTAACATTGTTCAGTTTCAGAGTCAAATCCAAGTTCATCCTTCCATCAAATTAAATGAAAGATTCACTATACTTCACATGATCCCTACCCCTCCCTTACTGTCTGTATTCCCTTCTTCCCTGCATCAAATTTCCTTTTAAATATACACCTTTCAGCACAAGTTACAGTTAACATTTGCCTCCAATTAACAAAGTGAGCTTCGACCTCAAAAAAACTTTTTAAATTTAAAAAAAGAGCTTGCAATGCACCAATGAGAAAGGCCACTTGAAAGATGGGATAATTGAAAGATATGTATTTCTTTAATGGCTAAAACAGCGTAAAATAACACCTTGAACGCTGGCAGTGGGGGAGAAATAATACCACATAAAGATAGCCCTTAATGAAAAACCCGAGCAAAGAATTTCAAAGGAGCAAGTGAATAAATTTGGTACAAGTCTAATATTTGGGCTTCTATGT